ATTATATATTTGGTATACACATACACACACGCAAACACAAAAAATAAAGGAGAAGCAAAGTGCTGACATCAACTCATTCACACCTGTCTCTCGTCACTGGACAGATCAACCAGACAGAGAACTAAAAGTAAATAAGAGCTTTAAACAAAGAATTTGAAGACAGGATTAATAGGCATACACAAGGCCCGGAGAGATCGCATAGCAGGTAAGGCATCTGCCTTGCATGTAGCTTATCCATGATCCATCCTGAGCACTGCATATAGTCTCCTGACCCCACCAAGAATGATCCCTAAGATCAGAACCAGAGGCCTTAGCCAGGAGTAAACCCTGAACACAAATGGAGTGGACAAAAAATGAGAGGAGGAGAGCAAGACAGAGACAGAGAGAGGTAAGAGATATATAGGACCTATCAACCCCAGAAGCTGAATATACATTCTTTTCTAGTGCACACAGAACACAGAACATTTTTCATAATAGACCACAGGCATAATTCCAGTGTCCATAATGTCATGAAACCAGAAATATCAAACATATTTTTGTATGCCATGAAGCTGGAAATTAGCTATAAAAAGAAAGCCAGGAAAAAATTACACTTGAAAACTGAAAAACAACCATGTTTAAACATATTCAAAAACAACTAGTTTCTACAAAAGTATGTTCAACAACAATACTTTTAAAGAACCAAAAAAAAAAAAAAAAGCCAAACTGGAAATCAAAGAAGAAATTAAAATATTCCTCAAAAATAAATGAAAATGAAGACAGAGAGTTAGAGAGTCTGAATGAACGAGAACCAGAACATATTGGCCACATCAAAAGCAGTACTGGGGCTGGAAAGATAGCAGAGCAGGTAGGGCGCTTGCCTTGCATGTGACTCACCCAGGTTTGATGCCTGGAATCTCTATTGTCCCCCAAGCACTGCCAGGGGTATTTCCTGAATGCCCAGCCAGGAGTAACCTCCAAGCATCTCCAGTGTGGTCCAACCCCTCCCCTGAAAAAAGAGCACTACCAAAGGGAATTTCATAGGCATATCATTTTACATGAGGGAAAAGAAAATGCTCAAATAAACAACCGAACCTCACAGTTTGAGAAACTAGGGGAAAGAATAATCCAAAGAATGAAGAAAATAATAAAAATTTGAGCAAAAATTAGCGATACAGAAATCAAGAAAATGATTAAAAGTGCAATTCAGATCAGGCAGTTTCATCCTCCCTGCCCCATCCCCCTGCAATATATATTATCGGAGAGCCCGGCAAGCTACCGAGAGTATTCGATATGCCAGACACAGTAACAACAAAGTCTCCAATGGAGACGTTACTGGGCCCGCTCGAGCAAGATTAAAGAAGATAGGAGCGAGGGGGCTGGAGAGAGCACAGCGGGTAGGGCGTTTGCCTTGCATGTGGCCGACCCAGGTTTGATTCCCAGCATCCCATATAGTCCCCTGAGCACCGCCAGGTGTAACTCCTGAGTGCAGAGCCAGGAATAACCCCTGTGCATCGCCAGGTGTGACCCAAAAAGCAAAAAAAAAAAAAAAAAAAAAAAAAGATAGGAGTGATAGCACAGCAGGTAGGGCGTTTGCCTTGCTCACAGCCAGTCCAGCCAAGCCGGGTTCGATTCCTCTGCCCCTCTCGGAGAGTCCAGCAAGCTACCGAGAGTATCTCACCCGCACGGCAAAGCCTGGCAAGCTACCTGTGAAGTATTGGATATGCCAAAACACAGTAACAGCAAGTCTCACAATGGAGACGTTACTGGGCCCGCTCGAGCAAATGGATGAACAACGGGAGAACAGTGCTACAGTGCTACAGGGGGGCAGGTATGCAAGGATTAAGCCTCATGCCAACTCCAGTTTGATCCTCTGTACCACATGGTTCTCTAAGAGTTGCTAGTTACAGCCCTAGAGGCCCCCAGCACCATCAAATGTGGATCCCAAGGCCCCAGAGCATCACTTCAGGGCCTACCAGCACTGCATCCTTGGGCCCTTGCTCAAGTGGGGTCCCGGGGGCTTTTGATCATTGTTTGAGAGATAATCCCTCTCAAAACAAACAAACAAACAAACAAAAAACCCCTAAGGATAGTGGTGGAGGTACTTGGGCACTTTGGTGTGGTAAAGGTGCAATAACATCGTTCATCAAAACCATGAAAAGGTCACTGTCATGGTCCTCCCATTGTTCATTGATTTGCTCGAGCGGGCCCAGTAACATCTCCATTTTGAGACTTGTTGTTACTGTGTTTGGCATATCGAATACGCCACGGGTAGCTTGCCAGGCTTTGCCGTGTGGGCGAGATACTCTCTGTAGCTTGCCGGGCTCTCTGAGAGGGGCAGAGGAATCAAACCTGGTCGGCTGGGTTGGCATGCCCTGCCCGCTGGGCTATCGCTTCAGCCCCCATGGAAAAGTAATAAAAATAATAAAGTTCAAATATTCTTTAATCACTTAAAAGAACTAAAATGGGCCGAGAGGTGGCTCAAAGGGATAGTGTCCATACTTTGCAGGAAACCAGGGTGCCATCCCCAATGGCAAATGGTTTTGTTCCAGCTCTTCCAGGTGTAGCGCCTGCCCCCACTCCAGGTGCCTGGGCGAAAGAAAATACCGCGGGTAGTTTTTGCCTTGTACACTACCGACCGGGTTCAATTCAGGGTATTGGATATGGTCCCCCAAGCACAGCCAGGCGTAATTTCTGAGCTCAGAGCCAGGAGTAAGCCCTGAGAATCACTGGGTGTGTCCCCAAGACCAAAAAACAAACAAACAAAAAATCCCAAAATCCAGGTGCAGCACCCAAATTAAACCCTAAAAACAGTAAATACTATTTAATAGTAGTCACATGTTTCATAGGTATTTAATAAGATTTGCTGAATTCATAACAGTGACTACACATTAGCCAGCTTCTAGGAATCTCTCACATAAAAAATTAGATTACAATCACATTATCTGCCTTTGCAGATTAGGAAGGGCTCAATCACTTTCCTACATTGGATATTTCTGTTTTCTGCTTCCTTTTTTCTTTTGGTTTGCTTTTTGGGTCACACCTGGAGATGCACAGGGGTCCACTCCTGGCTCTGCACTCAGAAATTACTCCTGGCGGTGCTCAGGGGACCATATGGGATGCTGGGAATCGAACTCGGGTCGGCCAAGTACAAGGCAAACACCTTATCCGCTATGCTCTCACTCCAGCCCCTACATCTGATATTTCAAACTAGTAAAACTTCAGGAAAATCTTGGAACTCTTCTTGTGGTTGTGTGCTTGGGGTTTTTACCCTATTTTTTTTTCACCTGGTTACTTAGTAACAGAGCAGGGAGATAGCTCAAGGAGTAGAACACATACCCAAGGTGTGGGAGGCCCTGGGACACGGTATAGTATTGCAGGGGTCTATCACAGATACCGTGGGGGGTGGCCCTGGATCGCTCTAGCACCACCAGGGGTGGCTCTTCCACGCTCCCCCTCCCCCATTTCTTTTCCCGGTTTTTGTCTTATTCCTGGTTCTGCTTTCAGGGATCACTCCTGGCTGTCACGTGGGTGCACGTGAGGCGTCAAGGACGAACCCGGATCGTCTGTGTGACATACAAATGCCCTATTTGTGCTCTAGTATCTCTCTGGCCCTCTTGCCCTATACTTAGTTTCTCACTTTTTGGATCACACCCGGTGATGCACAGGGCTTCCTCCCGGCTCTGCACTCAGCAATTAATTCCTGGCGGCGCTGCTCGGGGAACCATATGGGATGCTGAAGATCAAATCCAGGCCGGCCGTGTGCAAAGGCCCTACCCACAGTACTATCGCTCTGGCCCTGACCCCTTTATTTCCCTTGCCCTTTCCAGAAGTATGCTAAGATGTTTATCATTTCTTATCACTATGAAAGTCGTTTAAGTATTGTAAGGAAACTGATAAGGAAAAAAAGAGAGACATAAATACCTTCTCCAGAAAGGTCACATTGAAACATCTTGTTTGATTTGGGCACCCACTTGGCTTGCTCGTGGGAGCGAAGCCTGCATTCACCCTGTTGAACTCTCCTGGGTCACTAAAAATATATTTCAAGTTTCTGCAAGGCTGAGGGGATGGTTTAATGAACTGGCAACCATGCTCTGGCTTTTATTATTTATTTACCCAGAACTGATAAAACTCAGGGGTTACTCCCGGCTCTGCACTCTGGAATTACTCCTGGGGTTGCCTGGAGGACCATACTGGGTGCCATCCGAGCCTCTAGCCCACTTTGCGTGCGAGAACCCCGGTACCCCAGTACTCAGGGAGCAGCCAACTGACCCGACCCTGAAATGTGCAAGAGCTGTGAACATTCCACTTATTTCTTTTTGGGTCGCACCCGGCGATGCTCAGGAATCACTCCTGGCGGTGCTCAGGGGACCATGCGGGATGCCGGGAATCGAACCGGGGCCAGCCGCGTGCAAGGCAAACGCCCTCCCCGCTGTGCTACCGCTCCAGCCCCGAGCTGTGAGCAGTCTAGCTCAGGCTCTGGCGCCGGCAACATAGTATCCTCAGGACTGTCACAGTGACAGTTCGGGTCTCCAGCGTGTCCGTGCGGCGGCGCCGGAAGCTCCCCACCCAGCGCGCCGCGAGGGTCGCAGACACTCAGGGCGACCCCAGAAGTGGAGCCGGGACCGCTCTGCGTCGTAAGTCGCCACCTCTCCGCCCGCCGCCCGCGGGTCCGAGCCCAGAGCCGCAGCGCCGCGCCGGTCGCGAAGGGCGGGAAACGCCCGTCGGCGCCACGGAGCGGGAGAAGCCGCGTGAACACGACGGAGCGCGGAGGCTGGGGCGGGGGGGAGGGGCGAGAGCCGGGGGCGCCGCGGGCCGCCGAGAACCGCCCCGCGCCGCCCGGGACTCGGCCCGCCGGGCCGCCGCCGAGACCGCACCAAGATGGCGGCGGCGCGTCACGTGCGCGGCGTGATGACGTCGGACGGCGGCCGGCGGGCGGCGCCGCCCTGACCTCGGCCCCGGGCGCGCTTCCTCGGTTTCCCCCCGCCCGCGCCGCGCCCGCGCCCGCCCCCGCCCGGCGCAGATCATGCCGCCACGGCCGGCCCCGACGGCCCCGGGAACGGCCGCCTAGGACGCGTCGGCGGTCGAGGGACGCCGTCGGCCCCGCCCCGCCCCGCCCGACCCCCGGCGGAGAGGCGCGGCCCCCGGCCGCGTGACGGGCCGGCCCAGCGGGGAGCGTGAATCCGGCTCCTGCGGGGACGGGGGGCGGCGCGAGCGTGGAGGTGCCGCCCCGGACCGCGGCGAGACGGCAGCCACAGGTGAGCGGCGGCGGCGGCGGCGGCGGCGGGGGGCGGGGACGCGGCGTCCCGTGCTGTCGCGTCCCCGGCTGGCAGGGGGAGGACGCGGCGGGGACACGGCGCCGGGGCGGGGACGCCCAGCCGGCTGGCGCGCCGCGTGGAGGAGGGTCGCGCGCGGGCGTCCGCGGTGGGGGAGGGGCGCGGCGGCGGGCGGGCGCGCGCGCGCGCGGCGGAAGGGGGAGGGGCCGCCCGGCGTTCCCGCGCGCGCTTCCGGCGCTCGAGCCGCGGCCCCGCTGCCCCTCTCGGGTCGTTGGTCTCCGTCTCCTCCTCCTCCTCTTCTTTCTTCTCCACCACCTCCTCCTCCTCTTCTTTCTCTTCTTCCTCCTCCTCCTTCTCCACCTCCTCCACCTCCTCCTCTTCTTCGTCCTCCTCCTCCCCCTCCTCCCCCCCTTCCCCGCCGCCCCTCGCCCACCAACCCCAAATAAAACCCACATCCGCGGCCCAAGGCGAGCGCCCTTCGTCCAAGGTCTCCGGGCCGGCGTGGGCAGCCCGGGGCGCGGGGCGAGAGCGCGGCGAGGTGCGTGCGGGAGGGAAGCCCCCCACCCTTCCACCCCCCCCCCCCCCGGGTGTGCGGCCTCCCGGCGGCCCAGAAACTGCCCCTTTCCCTCCCGAAGCCGCGACTGTCGCCCGGGAGACGGCGGCTCCCCCGCACCCCGCCGATGGGCGAGGGGGCGGTGTGGGCTGACACGCGAGGGTCTCGCCCCCTCTGTCGGCGGCTGCCCCTTGGGCTCCTCTGGCCCCAGACCGCGGCAGGACTTTGCGGCGTCCGCTACCGCACCATCGCGCGCACGTTTTGCTCGGCCGACCTTGGAGGGTCGGGGGGCCAACAGTAGAGCCCGCGCCCTCCCGAGGCGCTTCCCGGCGCGGCGTGGGCGAGCATCTGGGCCCGACTGGCCCGCCTCGAGATAAGCGCGTGGCCAGTATGTGGGTGGGGTGGTCGCCAAACATTTGAGGCCGAGCATTTTTGGTACGCCGGAACAGTGCGGGTCTGAGAAAGCGCTGCCCTTTTCCACGGTGTCCGTTTCCTGGGCAGCGACCCGAGTCTCTGCTCTCACCTGTCTTGGGACTCGGGGCTTTGGACGCTGTTACTTTGTGTCTTTGCTTTTGTTACAAGTTTGGGCCGCGCGTCTCTGCAGTTCTACGGGACTGCCTGTAGGTGGCAGTCTTTTTCAAACGTGTCTTAAAACTTGGCATCCTTCACAATGCCCATCCAAGTGTTGAATGTTCCGGAATTGTCTTGTTTGTAAAGCTGTTTACCTATCAGTCCTATCAGTTTCAAGTGACTGAGCCCATCTAAATAGCACATTAGTTTAGCCACCAAGAATTAATGTGCTGTGACTTGCCCCGTGTTTACCGGTGGTGGCTCTTATTATAAGGTCACTTTAATACTGAGATAAGTGCTGTGATAAGAGAGAGGGGGCAGACAAGGGTTCTAGACCACACCGAGCAGAGGTAGGAACGTTTGACTAGAAAAATTAACACTTAAGGAATAGGCCACAAGCAAAGTAGGGAAATAGCATTGGCAGAGCCTGAAGGTGAGAGAAAGCAAGCAGGTATATTTGGACCTCTGGAAGAAATTCATAATGACTAATTGCAATTTTGGGTGGAGATAATGAGCACAGTTGTGGAGATGTTGAGGAAGGGACTCCTTGCCTGAATGAATGAGGAATCTAAGATCCTCTTCAGTTCTCAGATTGGATCACTTGTACATTTGTCAATGCTTATGATTAACTGCTAACTTGAGGATCTGCTGGTTACAGAGAATACATTCCCATGATACAGACCTTATTCTGAGGTGTCTTAATTAAGATCTGTCTGAAGAGAGTAGAAATGAAAGTTGAAAAGAGACTCGGTGACTAAATTGGGGATGTGGGGGTCATTATGGGAAAAAAAAAAGATTATGAATTTAGGTTCTTGCTTCTTAAAGGAAAATCTAAAAAGAAGTTAATAACATGGGTGAAATCTAGTAAGATTTAGTAATGCCAAGATCTTGGATTTTGAATTAAAAAGCTCTGGCTTCAGGTCTTGAATTCACAGGCACAGCAGGTTGGGTGCCTGCCTTGCAGGTAGCCAACCCAGGTTCAATCCCGGGCATTCCACATCGTCCCCTATGTACTGCCAGGAGTGGATGTTTCCAGAGTGTGTAGCCAGGAGTAAGCCCCAAGCATCCCTGGGTATGGCCCAGAAATCCCCCTAAAAGAAAAAAGTGTCATGCCTTTACTTAAATCCTTTATGTACATAAGCAAGATACACAGCTACCTAGAGGACTTTAGCTTCCCAAATTTATTTCTAGTTAAACGAAATAATGTATTCTAGGGCTGGAGAGAGCTCAGTGGGTTGAGTGACCCAGGTCTAGTCCATGGCACCATTGCCTCCTGAGCACCACTTGGTGTTCCCCCTGCCCTCCCCCCCCCCCCCATTTTATTTTTATTAGTTTTGACTTTGCGGTCACACCTGGCAACTCAGGGAGTACTCCTGGCTCTGCACTCAGGAATTACTCCTGGCAGTGCTTGGGAGAGAGGCTATATGGGATGCCGGGATCTAAACTGGGTTGGCTGTCTTCGGGACAAACACCCTGTCTATCCACTATACTACCATTCTGCTGCTCCCCACCACCACTGATTTTCTTTTCCTTTTTTTTTTTTTTTTTTTTTTTTTGCTTTTTGGGTCACACCCGGCGATGCTCAGGGGTTACTCCTGGCTCTGCACTCAGGAATCACCCCTGGCGGTGCTCAGGGGACCATATGGGATGCTGGGAATCGAACCCGGGTCAGCTGCGTGCAAGGCAAATGCCCTACCCGCTGTGCTGTTGCTCTAGCCCCCCGCCCCCCACCAATTTTAAACTAATTTGTGCTGAGTGGTAGCTCCAGCGGTAAAGCACATGCCTAGTATGTTCGAGACTGAATTAATCCCCAGCACCATATGTGTCTTTCATCCCAGCAATACTGAATATAGCCCTACTTACCCCTGAGCACATGCAGGGTCCCCTTGAGAAACTCTGGGGTTCACCCCACCCAGCCATTGGGCCCCTGCCCAGTGTTGGGAATGACCCCTTTAAAAGGTACTAATACGAATTATTTTTCATGTTTGAAATGGTCTTTTATTCTTAATGTTTAAAACAATATCTTCAAGTTAGAAATTGATTTCTGGGACTGGGAGAAGTTTCAAAGGCCTGGAGCACATACTTGGCATGTGGGATCTCTGGGTTGGATTCCTCTCCACGGCATCACCAATCTGAACAAACAAATGAATTTCTGATCTCAGAAAGGAAAGAAAGAATATATTGATATGAACCTTGTACCAGTGAGACTAAGGGCAGGTACATAGTTGCCCTTTCTTTCAAATAGGGAATTTAAAACGTTTTAACGGGTATGTGTTGGAGCCACATCTGGCAGTACTCTTGGCTACCCATGGCTAGTGTTGGCTCCGTGTTCAAAGATCGCTCGCTCCCGGTGGTGCTCTAGGGACCATATTTTGGTGTCATGATTACATTTGGGGTTGACAGCATGCACAATAAGCACCTTACTATATTAATCTTCTCTCTCCAGCCCCTGGATGATTTTTTTTTAAATTACGTTTCTCCTTCCCTTTACTGTTGATTTTGCCGAGTGTGCGCCTCAGCTGTGCCACGCACATCGTGGTAGCTCGGGTGCTTGCCGGGGGTCCTTCATGAAGTTACGGCTCACTGGCAGTTACCCTCCTTTAGTTGTGTTTTTTACACATGTGCTTGCTGGAGGCCACATTTTTCAGGGGTGTACCTTTTGGGGGTCACTCCCGGAGGTGTTTGGGGGGCCATGTAGTGCTGGGAATTGAATCTGGGCTTCCTGCGTGTGGAGCTTGCCTTTGGAACTCTCTCCAGCCCTGGGGCCTCACGCTAGCTGAGGCACACATGTTCTTGTAATGCTTGCTCTGGGTTGCATTTGTGCTCCAGTCTTCCACACACCTACACCGAGCTGTGAGGCAACTGTAAATCTCAGTATCATTTTATTTGGTTAAAAATTATGAGTTGTGTATATTCACTGGTAGAATATTATATACACCTCAGATAAGTGGTTTTTTTTTTCCCCCCTTCTTGGGTCACACCTGGCGATGCTCAGGGCTTACTCCTGGCTCTGAACTCAGGAATTACTCCTGGTGGTGGTTGGGGGGGGATTGAACCTGGGTCTGTTGCGTGGATGGCAAACACCTTATCCACTGTACTATCGCTCCGGCCCTTCAGATAAGGTTTTATTGAAAATCTAGAAAATATTTTTGATAAAAGGAAACAGGATACAGAATATGAGGGTACAAAATTTTACATACAACATACTTTTAACTTGCATTTGTTTTTGGATTAGGGCCACATCTGGCAGTGCACAGGACTTGCTCTTAGCTCTGTGTTAGGGACCTTCGTGGTGCTGGGGATTGAATCAGGGTTTGAATCAGGGTTGGCCCCGTGCATAACAATTGATTTAATCTCTGTACTATCTCTTGGTGCTAGGTGCTTATGACTTTGAAAATAAAGCAAATAGGACTAAAAAGAAATGATAATGCTGTAATTAAGACTGTGACATCCCTTCCCCCTCTTTCTGTGGTATATTTTCCATATTACAAAACAAAAGACTGTTGACATTTTCAGAAGGAAAGAAACTAAAAACACTTAGGTTTGGGGTAGTTTATATATATCCCTTCTCAGTGGTAAAACAACTCTTATCTAGATGAATTTGTTTCTGATTTTTTTTAAATAAAATGGAACAAGATATGGGTTTAGATTTAGAGTACGGTTAGGTTACATTTAGATTAAGATTACATTAGATTACATTTAGATATAGATTATATGAGTTTAGATTTGGGGTGATTTTCTCTTTTGGGGGTGAGGTCACACTGGACTTTGCTCTGAGGCCCTTCCCATCAGTGCTTAGGGGACCATGTCATACTTGAGTACCAGCATGCAAAGCATGTACTGTAGGCTCAGTTTCACAGTTTTTAAAGAGTGTTTTTAAATTTTTTAAGGAGGACACACCTGGCTTTGCGCAGGTGTGTCCTGGCTCTGAGCTCAGGGATCACTCCTAGTAGGGGTGGGGAGCCATCTGTGTGGCTGGGGATTGAATTTGAGTTGGCCGTGTGCTATGGGCTTACCTACTGTACTATCTTGGCCCTGTTCCACAGTTTTAAGTCAGTGACTGTAAGAGGGGAATACCTGTTTGCTTTCTCTTTATTTCTTATTTTTTTTCTTTTTGGGGTCACTCCTGGCTCTGCACTAAAGAATTACTCCTGGCGGTGCTCGGGGGACCACATGGGATGCTGGGAATTGAACCTAGGTCGGCTGCATGCAAGGCAAATGCCCTACCCGCTGTGCTATCGCTCCAGCCCCCTCTTTAAATGATTTTGTTTTGGGGCCACACCTGGCAGTGCTCAGAGACTACGTCTCCCAGTTATATGCTCTTGGATCACTTCCAGCAGTGCTTGGGTTTCCCCTGAGTATTGCCAGGAGTGATTCCTGATCACAGAGCCAGAAATAAGCCCCGAGCACCACTGGGAGTGGTCCAAAAATACACAGAACATTTACTATCTCAACCCTTTATATATAATTTAATACTGTTAACTATATCACTTTACCGTGAAACGTATATGTGTAATTTGGCATGCTCATTTCTTCCCACTAACCTTTCCTTTCCACCCCTAGCAATCTCTACAGTGTTTCCTGTCTCTATAATTTAAAAATCATTTTAATTTGTTTCTTTTTATTGGAGGCAGGGTCTCTTAAGCAGGGCTCAAAGGACCCGGTGCCATTCCTGTGCTGCAGGCCAGGCAGTTAAATGCTTGAATGCAGGATGTGGGAGCTGACAATGCCGGTGGACACCAGGTTCCCTGGTGGTGCTCAGTGCCTTGGGATGTGCTGTCAGAGATTGAACCGTGCACTCTAGCCCTTTGATTTATCTCTCTGGTCCTGCCTCTGATTTTGGCTACTCTTTTTCGGGGGCCACATATGTTGTGCTAGGGATTGAGCCCATGTTGGCCATGTGCAAGGCTAGCACCCTACCCCTTACACCATCTCTCTGGCCCCTGAGTTTGACTGCTATAAAGTAAATAGTCAAATGAAATCAACTAGAGCCATAACTCAGCAGTTGAGGACTTACTTTGTATTTGCCAGGTTCTAGGTTGAATTCCTCACACTGTAGGGGCAAAAAAGAAAATCATGTAGTATTTTTCTTGGTTTGACTAGCTTATTTTGCTTAATGCAATAGGTTCATTTACATTGTCGCATATGTCACCACTTTATATAAGAAAAGCATTTTTAACATTCCATCATTTTGAGGCACTTGTAAATCCCATTTGAGTATGCTTGTTTTCTTACTAGCTATTGTGGTCCTCCTTGAAGTGTCTTCGGACACAGGAGGAGATTGGGCTTATAGCCTAACTACTGTTAATCAATTATTCATAATTATAAGTTATAGTTAGAAGTAATTATAATTATTCATCTATAATTATATTGTATATATAACATTTTGTTCATAGTCATTGATGAACAGTTGTATTTTTGTCTTTTAGCTGTTGTAACTGATACTGCTATAGACCTATGTATCAAATGTTCCTAAGATTCCTTAGGAAATATACCTAGAAGTGGGGTGTAGTAAGTACTGCTTGCCACAGTGAATTGTAGCATTTTACCAACAAAAGTGCACTAAGATTCCAGTTTTTCAAGACATAAATTAATTTTTGAGTCATTCTGATGAGTGCAAAGTGATAACCATATTGTGGAATTTGCGTTTTCCTAAAAAGTAGCCAGTCTCTCCCTCTCCTCCCACCTTTCCCTCTCCCTCCTCCTCCCCTCCTCCGTTCTCTCTCTGTTTTTCCTTGGCTCATATTCATAAGAACCTGGTTTTCCTCCTATTTGACATATTCCGTTCCATCTCTCATAACCCATTTATTATCATTCTTACCCGACCTACATATCCTGCCGTTGATGACCTAGATCTTTATTTATTTGTTGTGGACCACAGCCGGTGGAGCTTAGGGTCTGTGGGGAACAGTCCAGGCTAGGGATCTTTCCTGGGCCTCCTGCAGGCAAAGCATGTGCTTAGCCCGTGGAACTCTCCCTTGGCTTTATCTGACAGTTAGAACTTAAGTGTAGTTTCATTGGGCTGGAGAGCTAGGGTGGGGGGGAAGGTGCTTTCCTTGCATGCTCTGACCCCAGTTGGATCCCAACACCACACACAGTTTCTCGAGCAACACCAGGAACGATCCGGAGCAAAGAGCCAGGAGGAAGCCCTGAACATGGCCAGGTGTGGCCCAAACTCCCCTTTCACCTCTCGTGATACAGTAGTTTTATTGTTTGCCTTTTATTCAGTGATTCTCTATATAAAACTTTGTGATTGTGGCCTCAAGAGATAGTACTGCCAGTAAGGTGTTTGCCTGGCACATGGCTGAGCCGGGCTCGATCCCTGGCACTTCATATGGTCCCCTGAGCCATGCCAGGAGTGATTCCTAAGCACAGAGCCAGGAGTTTGCCCTGAGCATTGCCAGGTGGCTTCAAAATGAAAACAAACAAAAAGCCTGTATAATTAGAACTGTTCTAATTAGAACAGGAGACTAGAGAAAGAAAAGCTTATGCCCATGAACAGGAAGATTATTGTACCTATTGAATGATACAACATCTGAAAACTTAGTCATGCTATATTTTTGTTTTGTTGCCATATTTGGTGGTGCCCAGGGGCTACTCCTGACTTGGGGCACCTATCGTGCTGAAAACCAAATCTGGGCACCCACCTGCAAGAGTGTGCTCAGCCTTTAAGCTGTCTCTTGTCCTGGTCATAACATTGTCTCTGCTTATGTTATTCACTGAATTTAAACAAGCCAAATTTAAACAAGTGTTAATCAGTATTTTAAAATTTTTAAATATTTGTGTTAAGGACAAGTGTTGTTGGTTTTTTCCCCCCTATCTCTATGACATAGCTACCAGTTATTTCTCATGGAGGCAGCCAGCTCACAATTTTCACATAGGTAAATTACATAAGTACGTGATATACTGTATACGTTTGGTAGCACTTTTTTTTTCCATTAAAAAAAATCTTCTAGGGGCCGGAGCGATAACACAGCGGGTAGGGCGTTTTCCTTGCATGCTGCCAACCTGGGTTCGATTCCCGGCATCCCATATGGTCCCCCAACCACCGCCAGGAGTAGTTTCTGAGTGTAGAGCCAGGATATAACCCCTGAGCATCGCTGGGTGTGACCCAAAAAGCAAAAAAACAAAAACAAAAACAACTTTTAAATTCAGTTGCTCCATATTCATAGCAAAGAGGTATGGGAACATACTGAGGCTGGATTGAGCTAAACTCCCTCTAGAAAAGCTTGGTCTGTGTTTCAGGAAAAGTATTCATGTTAACAGAAACAACTTTCGAGTTCTTGAAATCAGAAAGCAACTTTTTAACTGCCCTTTTTTTCCCTGTAGAGTTGATTATGGAAGATTCCCACAAGAGTAACACTTCAGAGACAGCATCTCAACCTGGTTCAGCTGTTCAGGGCGCTCACATTTCTCATATTAATCAACAGGTAAGACAGGGACTAGCCAAAATATTGAGCAAGTTAGGAATGTTGTTGTTTTAGCTCTTTAGTTTCGAGTGTTCAAAAAAGAACCAAAAGAAAAGCTGTAAATATAAAATGTATGGAAGGTAGATTTTATTTAAATCTTTTGACAAGATCTTTCAGTTTTTTCTCTTATATAGAATATATTTACTGTTGTGTTAATAAGATACTGTTGTGTCTGTTTCTCAAGAATTGGAGACGTAGATTTTTGGTTTGTTTTTGGTTTTGAGCTACACCTGGCTGTGCTCATGATTTACTCCTGGCTCTGTGCTCAGGGATCATTCCTGACAGGCCCTGGGGGACCATTTTAGGTGCTAAGGCTTGAACCCAGGTCAGTTGCTTGTAAGACAGGTGTCTTAGTTGCTGTAGTATCTTTCTGGCTGTAGATTTCATATTATATGGAGAATGATTGATTTTCTTTTTGCAGACAGGTTTTGTTACTACATAAGAAAGTAAAAACTTTTTGACTCTTTGAACTTGAGATGAAGTTTTAGGAGGTAAACCTTAATCAGTCCTATTTATAGGAAATATTTTTCTTGAATTGGAAAATAGGTGTATTTATTTAGAGGTCTGTAAACTACAGAACTTTTTTTTTTCCTGTGTACATGATTTTGTTTTCTGCTTATTGTTCGGGATCATTCCCCGTGCTGCTTGGGGAGATCATGCATTTTGGGGAATTAAACTCAGTCCTTTAGGCTACCCTCTCCTGCCCCAGAACTGATTTTATTTATTTATTTTGCTTTTGAGGGTCACACCTGGCAGTACTGAGGGGCTGCTCCTAGCTCTGCACTCAGGAATTCTCCTGGTCGTGTTCAGGGGACCATATGGGATGCTGGGATCGAACCCTGGTCAGCCATGTGCAAGGCAAGCGCCTTACCCGCTGTAGTACCACTCCAGCCCCAGAAACTGATTTTTAAAAATTTCAAATGGTTTGATTTATGAACTTGACTCACTTTAAGGAAAACAACTGACATTTGTTGCCGCTGGTAAGATTTGAACTTTAAAACAAAACAGTAGAATTTTGGAAATTTTTTACTCACATAGTGAACTTAATAGCTTCCTAAACTCGCAGACTTTTTTAGTTAGCAAAATTATGTTACAAGTCATACATGGGTATTCAAATTGCAAGTTAGACCAGTGCATTTATTTATTTACTTTGGTGCTCAGGATAAATTTACTTCTGGCTCTGTGTTCAGGGATTATTCCTGGTGGTACACAGGGAGTATATGAGGTTCTGAGGATGGAACCACGATTGACTGTGTACGAGGCAAGCACCTTCCCCCTGTACTCTCTCTCAACCCAAAACCAGTGCATTTTAACATTAACAGAATACACAAACTTCATATTGTACATTGCAAATCGTCAATTCAGCCATTTTCTATTAACTCCAACAGGATAATTCAAATAGAAATGTAAAACTGAAGTGTAAAATTTTCATTCATGATTTTGTTTTTGGAATTTTGAGGTTCTTATTTTTTTAAATTTTTGATGTTTGGCCTGTATCCTGTGGTGCTCAGGGTTTACTACTAACTTGGTGTGCAGGGAACACTTCTAGTGGTGTTCACAAGATCAGATGAAGTGCTGGGAGTGAACCAGGGTTTGATGTGTGAAATACAAACGCCTTATCTAACTGCCCATACTAACTCTCTGGTAGTACACACTTTCATAAAAATTATTTCTGCGGGGAGGGAGGGTGGGCGGTTGGGCCACAGTATTGCTTAGGATTTGCTTCCTGTAGTGCTTGGGTGGGGATCCATGCAGTGTCATGGATTCAGCAGGGATCAGCCACATGCAAGGCAAGGGTCTTAACTGCTGCTCTTTAGTTTTTTGGACCACACCCGGTAGTGCTTAAGGGTTATTCCTGACTCTGTACTCAGAAATCACTTCTGGTGGTGCTTGGGGACCATATGGGATGCCGGAGATCAAACTGGGGTTGGTCATGTGTTAGGCAAATTCCTTACCTGCTACATTATCACTGCAGCCCCTAAACCCCTCTTCTGTCCCTCAAGCTCTGATCAGGTTTGTTTTTTTTTTGTTTGTTTGTTTGTTTGGGGGCTACACTCAGCGATGCTCATGGGTTTCTTGCCTCAGGGTGTTGTTCAGAGGGTCATAGGAGATGCAGGGGATTGAACCTGTTTAAAGAGATAAAAACTCATATAGATGAAAGTTTTTTGTTGAGGTGCTCATAACTGTTGAATAAAAGAATTTTGAGACATTTTGTTTTTTGTTTTTTGGGTCACACCTGGTGATGCACAGGGGTTACTCCCGGCCCTGCGCTCAGGAATTACTCCTGGTGGTGCTCAGGGGACCATATGGGATGCTGGGAATCGAACCCGGGTCGGCCGCGTGCAAGGCAAACACCCTACCCGCTGTGCTGTCGCTCCAGTCCCTTGTGATTGACTTTCAATCATATAATGATCAAACACCTATCCCTCCATGAAAGCACATTTTCTACCATCAATGTTCCCAATATTCCTCCCCACCTCGTCCCACCCCTGCTTCTGTGGCAGGGATGTGGGGGTATGGGGGGTGGGAGGGATACTGGGACCCATGGTGGTGGAGAATGGGCACTGGTGGAGGGATGGGTATTTGATCATTGTGTAATTGAAACCCAAGAACAAGAATTTGTAAATCTACAACTGTACCTCATATGTCTCACTAATAAAAAATAAATAAAAGAAACTATATACAAAAAAAATTATCTGACCATATATATATATGGGGATTTGTCCTTGGATTTTCGATTCTGACCCATTGGTCAAAGAGTCCTTATTCCAGTGCCATGCTGTTTTGATCACCATAGCTTTGTAGTATAGTTTCAAATTAGGTGATCAATACTTCCTACTTTCTTATTTTTCAGTATTGATTTGGCTATTCAGGGTCCTTTATGATTCCATACAACTTTGTTACTCACTGTTCTAAGCCCTTGAAGAACATCATCTGAATTTGGATAGAGATTGCACTGATTATTTGGGGGAGGGGGCAGGCACACCCAACTGTGCTCAGGGCGGACTCACTCTTGGCTCTACACTCAGGGATCCCTCCAGGTGGTACTTGACAAGCATACAGGTTGCCAGGGATTAAATCTGGGTTGGCTATGCGCAAGACAAGTGCCCTATCTTACCCTCTATTGTACTATTGCTCCAGCCCTGATAGTAATTGCATTGAATCTATATAGTTGGTTATGTAGGATGGTCATTTTGACCAGTATTTATCCTTCCAACCCATGAGCATAGAATATTTTTCCATTTTCTAAGGTGGTCTTTTATCTGTTTTTGTTTTGTGTTTTTGAGGGGCCAGACCTGGTGGTCCTCAGGGGTTAATCAATCCTAGTTCTGTACACAGGAATTACTCCTGAGAGTACTGAGTACTTAGGGGACCATATGGGATGCCAGAGAATCAAATCTGGATTGGCCATGTGCATGGCATATGTCCTTTCCGCTGTATTGTTGCTCCAGCCCTGTTTATCTCTCTAAGTGATTTAAACTTTTCATGCTGTGTACTTGATAGTTTGGGGCATTATTTTGAATGGAATAGACTCTTTGATTGCTTTATCCTCTCTTTTTTAAAAATTATTACTATTATTCCATCTCCTCTTATATTGATTTGGACTATACATAAACCGTATCACTACTTTTTCCAGTAATTGTCCTAATTACAGCATGCCTACTTAATACAGTCTATAGTTAGTCAATACCTACCAGACCTAGCACACCTATTTCTGTTATCTTTTTTCTGACTGTAGCTGTTGTTAAAGACTTTACTTCCCCCCCCCCCCCCCCGCCCCAACTTAATTTAAACATCATGGTTTACAGAGTCTGTAATATAGTTGTTTTGGGCATTCAGGATTCTAGCACCAATCACACCACCCCTCCACCAGTGCCCCCAGTTTCCCATCAACTTTCCAGGCTTGCCCCCTTAGCAGGTACAGAAAAATTTATATTGCTTGTTACAACAAACGGTAAGTGTAAGATTATTTAAAAATAATTTTGTAAGAGACAATTTGTGAAGATTGGTATGTCTCACAGTGGTGTTATTAAAATCGTTGAGGATTTACTGAACTCTGTGTTGCTAGTTAGGCCTTCTTTGTTAATGTTCTTGGTCCTGAAATTGGGGGGCTACTTTTCCCATCTCATTTGCTGTGCTCCTGCTGGGCTGTCAGTATTTTGGAAATGTTGCTGGTCCACACATGTGGCCATGCGCTCCAGGAGCTTCGGAATCTTTAGAACCCGGACAGCTATCGGCCTGCCCCTATCTCAGGGAGGCTGCAGACTCTTTTGCCTGAAGACCACTTAGCTGTGAGTTTCCTCACTTTGGCGTCTCTTCTGAGATGAGCTGTGAAGCTGTGAAGCTGATCTGTTTAACACAGACTTTGCTTTCATCCTTTTTCACCTCAGAAAGCGTCATAATTTGAGTTAGACTTTCGCTTTCCATGCCACTGACCCTGACCCAAGCCCTGTTACCCAGGTGACTCACTGAGCGTCATTAGGAACAAGCTCCAACCACAGCTGGCCCTGGTACAAAACAAAAACCAAATCAAAAAATCATTTTATGCATTCAAAGTGATTTGTTTTTTCTCACATTTTTATCAATTTCCTTGCTCTTCCTCCTTACTAGATGTGTAGGCTCCTAGTTAGTGTTTTGGCCACACCCAGCAGTACTGCTGGTTTACTCCTGGCTCGGTGTGCTTAAGGATCACTCCTGGCGGTGCTTGGGGGCTCAGTTTGGTACAAGGCAAGCACCCTGCCCCCGGTACTCTCTCTCCAGCCCTTAGGCTCCCGTTTTTTAAAATTTATTTTGCCTTTTTTGGGGGGTCACACCCAGCGATGCTCAGGGATTACTCCTGGCGGTGCTGGGGATCAAACCCAGGTCAGCCATGGGCAAGGCAAATGCCCTTCCCGCTGTACTATCGCTCTGGCCCAGGCTCCCATTTATTTTCCTATTTGTTAAAAAATAAAGAAACCCCC